TACTCATGAAAACCGCGTTCATGGCCCTAATTCGTGCAACCCATCCGCCCGGCTTGACAATGAGCATGCCTGCATGTCGAAACCGGGCCCTCCACCGCGTTTCTATCGACACTGGCGGTGGGGATTTTGAACGAGTCAAAAAAGGGACCGCCGCGTGTGTGTGTGTGCTGACTCTGTGTGTGTGTGTGAGGGAACAACGGGAATTGAGAGATGGAGGTGGTTGTGGAGATGGACCAGATCCTCCTTTTAGGGGCTCCTTTAGGCTTCTTTTAGTGAGCTTTTCCGTCCCTTTTGCCCCCCAGCTGCAATTCGTCCTCGTTAGCAATGCATACACACCAGCCTGGCCCACTATTCGTCGTCCTATTGTCTAATCTCATAGCTGCCATCTTGCGCATTGACCTGATTTTTATTTGATCGCTTTCGGGTTTTAGTTTAATTCATGGTTTTCGACTTTTGTAACGTTTCCGATGAATGTGACCGGCTTCTCGGGGGCTAGCCAATGCTTGTCTATGCTTCCCGCCAAACTATCGCCTGGTTGCATTGTGCCCCTGAAAGCGCGAGCTTAAACTTTTGAATTGTTATTTGAATTCCTGGAGATAATTTTTTCGAATTAGAAAGCTTCTGCACCTTTCTTCAGTTTTTCAGCGGGAATCCACTTTTGAATAATCTGTAAGCTAACTAATAAGCTGATATTAACTTCCACGCCTTCCTTACACCTTTCTTGTCTTCTTTCTTTTTTTTCTTTCTTTCTTCCAATGTTCTTATTTTTGCGTTATACGGGTCTTTTTCATGCATGCTAATTCTTTTTTCAGAATGGGTGATCCCTTCGAATACCTGGACCCCTTCGATGTCACCGCAAAGCTGCCGGCCAATTTTTATGAAGAAGAAGGGGGGACGGCTAGCAAGAAATGGCAAGAGCGCAAGGACGCCGTTGAGGTACATATTCTTTCGTTTGCCTATTATTTTGATTAGGCGCTCCTGAAGCTGGTCAACGACAACCCAAGGCTCGACCCGAAGGGCAACTATGGCGAGCTGATCAGCACGCTGAATCGACTCGTTGGCAAGGACGCGAACATCAACGTGAACGCCGTCGCCGCCAAGTGCATAGCTGCCGTGGCCTATGGTCTGCGCGCTAAATTCGCCCCACATGCCTCGACGGTAATTTTTGATAGAACTTTCTTTTGCAGAAGAATACCTTGCAACTTTAGAATTTTTGCTTTAGCTCTTCCCGACCGTGATCGAGAAGCTCAAGGAAAAGAAGCCGCTGCTTCGCGATCCCGTGGTCGATTGCCTGGATAAGATGGCCGCCACGACAAGCCTCGACTCGCTGCAAGAATTCATCATCAGTGGCCTGCAAAACAAGAACCCGCAGATCAAGGCACAGACGTCTGCCCTGCTCTATCGCTGCTTCAAGACGTACAACGACAAGACGGGCAAGGCTACTTTGAAAGCTGTGGCGCCGATTCTTATTAAGGTAGTTTTTATCTTCTTTTTGCTTTGTCTTCTACAGTTAGTTGGTAATTGCTTTTCTTTCAGAATTCCACGGATGCCGATCTCGAGGTGCGCTCCGCGTCGCTGGAAGCCCTCGGCTCGATGATTCGCGCAACGGGCCCGGCCGGCAACGGACTGATCAAGGACCTCGCCGATGACAAGACAAGGATGGACAAGATCAACGCAGCCCTGGAGCAGGCCAAAGCCGAGGTGGCCGCCGAACAACAAGCAGCTGCGCCAGCCCATGCTGCCCCCAGCGCCCAAGCCGATACGGCCCCTCAAGAAGTGGCCCCGTCCACAGCCGCTGTTCCAGCTTCTGTTGCACCTGCCGCTGAAGTGGATCCGTTCGAGTTTTTGGGTGGGTTTCGATCTTTGCAACTTTGACGGATTTGCGGTCATTGCAGTTCTAATTGAATTTTTCCAGATCCGGTCGACGTCGTCGCCAAGCTGCCCGCCAATTTCTACGAAGAAGAAGGAGGGACGGCCAGCAAGAAATGGCAGGAACGCAAAGAAGCATTGGAAGCCCTGGATCAGCTCATCCGCGACAATCCGAAGCTGTCGTCCAAGGCCAACTACGGAGAGCTGATTGGGACCCTTTCTAAAGTAAATTTATCATTTTATTTTCCATATTATCTTTAGATCCTCGCCAAAGATGCCAACATCAACGTGGCCGGACTGGCGGCAAAGTGCCTGGGCGGAATCGCTTACGGTCTCCGCAAGAAGTTCACCTCGCACGTCCCCTCGGTGCTGCCCGCTATCATCGACAAGTTCAAGGAGAAGAAGCCGCAATTGAGGGAGCCGCTTATCGAATGCATCGACAGGGTTGGCGCCCAGGCCGATCTCGAACAAATGGAGGAGGCGCTCGTCGGTGGCTTGGAGAACAAGAACCCGCAAATCAAGGCGCAGACGGACCTCTTCCTCGAGCGCATGCTTCGCAAATGCAACGCCAAGACGATGCCGAAGAAGATCAAGGCCTTCTGCGTGCATTTTGTCAAGGTTCGTTTTTATTTTGGTTTTTTGTATTATTTTTTTCAGCACACTGGCGAGTCCGATGCAGAAGTGCGCGAGGCGGCCTACAACACGCTGGGTGCTCTGCAGCGAATTGTCGGCGAGAAGGTGGTGGCCAACTGGTGCGCGGCGATTGCCGAGGACAAGATGAAGATGACGAAGATCACCGAGGCCTGCCAGAAGCTCATCGGGGAAATCGGTGGTGCAGCCGCCGCTCCCGCTGTTCCTCCTCCAGCTGCGGCTCCACCGGCAGCTGCTCCACCTGCCAAGAAGCCCGAGGTATTTTTTTCACTTGTCCTCATTCAACCTCTTTGCTTTAGGCCAAGAAACCGGCCCCTCCGGCTGCAAAAGCCGCCACATCACGCCCAGGCTCTCGAGAAAATTCGCGTCCAGCCTCCCCGGTGGAAGAGCCGAAGAAGCCGGCCAAGGAATCGGCCCCGTCCGAGCTACTCAAGGCTAATGGTGACAAGAAGCAGCGCCTGAAGGACGAGGCCGGCCTCAAAATCTTGAAGTGGAACTTCGCCACCCCGACCGACGAACATTTGGAGCAGCTGAGCACGCTTCTCGGCCAATACGCCCTGGCGACGCTGCAGGGATGGCTCTTCTCGAAGGATTTCAAGTCTCATATCAAGGCTTGTGAAGAGTTGCTCAAGGTTGGTTTTCCCATTCATTACCTGCCTTTCTTTAGTTGCGATAATGATAAAACCCTTTTTTTCAGTTGGCCGATCGCGACCCGGAGGCCCTGGTCACGAACTCGGATCTTCTACTGAAGTGGTGCACGCTGCGATTCTTCGAGACCAACCCGAGTGCCCTCATCAAGGTTCTCGAGCTGGCCCTCCGTGTTGTCAACGAGTGCGAGCGCGCGGAGAACGCCGTCTTTACCAACACCGAAGTCAACGCTTTCCTCCCTTACCTGCTCAACAAACTCGGCGACCCGGTGAGAGAAATATACAGTTTTTTTATTCAATGTTTTTCAGAAAGATCACATCCGCAACATCATTCGCGAAATTATCGACTCTATGACGGCGATGTGCGGCCCTGTCAAGATGACCGCAGCTCTACTGGAGGGACTAAAGGCCAAAAACGCACGCCAACGAACAGAGGTAATTTTTTGGAGATCTATGCCTTGCGTTGCCCTAATTCGCTATTTTTAATAATGTTTTGTGTTTCAGATTCTTCGCGTACTTTCCGAATACATCGATGGTGGTGCGCTGACGGAGTTGAAGCCGCTCGGCATTATGAAGATCATCGCTCCATGTGTTGCCGACGCTGACAAGAATGTGCGCGAAGCGGCGATCGTCGGGATGGTGGCGGCTTATCGATGTGTAAGTCCAAATAGATTTTTCCACACTGTTTTGCTTTTAGGAAGGTGATGCAGCGTTCAAATCCGCCGGCAAGATCGCCGACAAGGAGATGGCCATGCTACAAGAACGGATCAAGCGGATGAAGATCGTGCCCGGACAAGCGGCGCCAAGGGCTGCACCCCCAGCCGGCGGCGGCCCGAAAATCATGAAGGCCGAGCCGACGGTCAGAGGAGGAGTGGCCGTCGCGCCAGCGACACCCTCAGGACCCGCCCGCGATATCGACATCGAGCAGACCATGCGCACCCACGCCAGGCCTGTGCGGCAGTCTAATCGTTTCGAGCTGGATAAGATGGTTGGTTTTTAATTTACTTACGTTTGTTTAGCAGACGCAAATTGCTTTTTTCAAAAACATGTTGTCTTTTTCAGGTCTACGAGGATCCCTTCCAAGCGGCTCGCGACGAACGGCTGAACAGAATCACCGACGCGACCCAATCCATTGACGAGCTCGAGCGCGCTTTCCAGAGGCCCCACGAGAGCAGCTTTACGATGAAAAGGTATAATATTTACTTGCTTTGAAGGATTGCTCTTTAGAACACCATCGCAATCGTCGATCGCCTCAACCGTGGAAACCCTGGAGCAGCTCGACAAGACGATCAACGACGTCGGCAGCAATAACTACAACATCGCCTCTGATGCCATCGGACAGGTAAATTTTTGACTTTATTTTCCTAATTTTTTTTAGCTTGCTTTCGTCGCCCAATCGCCTGAACAGTTGCCGCTCCTGAACGAACGCGTCGACACGCTTCTCCAGATGTGCTCGCTGCAGATCGAATCGTCGCTGGCCACTGCCCGCTACGGCTCGGTGCCCCGAGCACTCGGCTTGATCAACGACATCTTTGACCTGATACAAAAGGTATGAAAATTGGATGGTTGTGCAATTGTGCTTTAGATTTACATGATCGAGGAGTGCCCGGCCCTGACGCAGCTCTCAGCCGCCGTCTGCGAGTCTCTCCTGAAGCAGCTAATCATGACGGTCACCTCTCCAATTCTGGCTCAATCTGACGATTTTGTGACGGTAAGTGCTCGAGTTTTAACTGTTGGAATCCTGGAATTAATTTTTTGATTAGTGTTAATCCCGAATTTTAGGTGGGTCGTATCGCCAACGTGATCGTCATCAAGCTCGTCAACTTCTGCAAGCCGTCCGCCCTATTTGAGGCGACGACGAACAACATGATGAGCATTGGCCCGAACACCGACGCCTGGGTGATGTTGCTCCGAATTCTCCAGCGGTCCACCAAGAATTGCGATGGGATCAAGTACGTGGCCCGCTTCGATCTGCGGCAATATTTCATCGGTAAGTTTCAATTTTTATAATTTACACCGGGCTTTTTTGTACCTCTTTATGACGTCGTTTTCAGCGCTCAGTCAGTTCTTCACGTACCTGGAGAAACACACGGGCGGCACCAAGACGGAGACGATCAACGAGACCAGCGATCACTTGAGCACGATGCTACAGCGAGTGGTCAACGTCTTCCGGGAAGAGGTGACATTTGTAAAATGTTTTTCATCCGATTTTAGACCCTCGACACGCTTCGCCGTATCCCGAGGCCGAACCCCAAGATCTCGACACTGGTCCACAACTTCATGGCGCAGCTGAAGGACACGGCGAAGCCCGATCTGCCGCAGTTGCCCGGACAAGTCGATCAAGGGCCCAGCGACTTTTCGATGGAGAAATTCTGGTCGCTGTTGCACCAGGTTGCCGTGGACTTTAGCAAGGTAAATCCTGATTTTTATAATATTAATTGTATCTGCGTTTGCATTACGAACATCTTTTTAGCTCCCGTACACGCTGCCCCCGCTCGCCACCTACTACAAGCAAAACGCGGGCCACCACCGACAAATGGAGGACAAGCTGCAACAATACTACAACGGGCCCTACCTCTCCAAGCTCGTCCACCAATACATTGAACATGGCGACCGGATGACGTGGCCGTCCGAGGTAAGATTTCGAAGCTTTTTTCAAACCGTCTTTTAGAAATGCCTCATCCAAGTGAACGACTCGCTGGAAGCCATGCTGAAGACGTTCGGCGAAACGGTTTGGGGCGAGCGCAAGAACCCACTGCGACGACGGCCTGAAGGGCAAATTGCCGCCCCACCACAGGAACTCGAGATGTCCATGAGGTTTTGGAAATTGGGTGTTTTCTTTATTCTTTTTCTTATAGGGAACTTCCGCAAGTCAACAAGGAAAACGGGCCGGCACCTTCAAGCGCTCGTCGAACGGAGGTTGTGAAGAAGCCCCGGCGTTCCGTGATGCAGCAGTAAGTTTTTTTATTCATTTTTTTTGATATGAGGATAGTTCTAACTCATTTTTTTCCAGGCAGGAGCTCGACAACCTGCGCGCTCGTCTCAACGCCGTCGGCCAAAACTAAATGGAACCCGTCGCCCTCCAATGTCAACTACCCTGTGAAATGTGCCCAACCCTTTCGTGTCCCAAATCCTTCCGCCCTAATTTTCCACTCGGGTTGCCTCATTGTATAGCTTGTGTTTGCGTGTTCCCTCTCTGCACTTGATTCGCCTTGTTCCCCCACTTGGTCAGCGCCTTTTCTACCAAAGCCGGTTTGCTTCTCCCAACGCTCCTGAAATATGCATAATTCTGAAATGTCTAATAGTCCAAGCAATAAATTGTAAAAGTCTGAAACTTTTGTACGGTTTTACAACTTTATTCGGGAAAAATTATTATAACAGATGGAGTCTATTGACTGACGCGATACCCGGGTGGATTATGACGGTCATGATGTGATCGGAAATGCGCGAGTTTTTAAAGCGGAAGCGGGGTGTTGTGACAAAGTGAGAAGAGGGGGGGGGGGTTGAAGGCAAGGATATCACAGCGGTATTGGAGGAGCTTTTGTGAAAATACTTTTTGATACGGGCAGGACAGCTTTGGGGGAAATACATTTAGCTGTCGAGATTGCAGCGCTTTACAAATTCGTAGGGATTCGATTACGAATAGTTTTACAAATAGCGAAAGGAGATGCAAAGTAGCTTTACGAGGCTTCACTTTAAATGTTTAGATACAGCTCTCCGCGAGGCAGATCGTCAGCGCTGCCACAAAAATGTCGATCACCGCCAATATCAACGCGGCGATCGCAAGGAAGTAGGAATAGCCGAGCTGGGTGGTGATCTTTTGGCCGTTTGTGAAGTTGTCCTTTACTTCGTCTGAAAGTTGTTTGGTTTTTGAGCTACTTGTAGTGCCTTATTAGGCAAAATGAGGCCCGGAAATCTAGCCAATCGATCATTTTGAGGAATTTCGGTGTTTGTTTCGCTTTTCACAACGCTTGAACAGTTTTTTCGCTCACCGAAGGCGTTCTTGTTGTTGACGCCGTAGACGACGACGGCGATCGCCAGGAAAATAGCAACAAGTGCCGCCAGGGCTGACAATGGGTGAATGACGTACTGAAGGTGATTTATTAAAGAGAACTGATGTTTGTTTTCAGATGTGGCTCCAAGGTTTCCATACTTTTTAACCCACTGACCTTCTTCCAACAGCACGCGAAGCAGGCGAACACGTTGTAGGCCAGGCAGACGAGCTCGGCAACAAGTGCCAAGCTCATAGCGATAACTGTCACCTTTTCCCAGGTTTTCAGGTTCTAAATTTACAATTTGCAGATTTTTCGGCATTTTCTAACCTTCCACCATTCATTACAGATCTGCTTCTGGGTTTGGCCGTTCGTGATGTTCGGATTTACGCAATTATACCCGAAAATACCAGAATGCTGATCGTCGGGGTATTTACGCCAGCCTGAAAATGTTTTCAAGACAGTTTTAATGTTGACTTCTGGCCTTTTACTTTAAAATATATAAACGTACCGTCGCTGAACATTGACGCGGCCGTCAGCGCCAAGCACAACACCATGATACCCCCGAAAACGATCTGACCGAGGCCGGAGAAGCACATTTTGCTGAAATCTGAATAACGAGAAGCTGATGAGTACCCTGGTCTCCAAAATAGGTGGAAAGAAAGGTAATGAAAACATTTGAGCACGTTATCGGTATCATTTTCGCCCGGTAAACAGGTGACTCGCTTGGAAAATAGCAGGATCTAGGTGGTAAGCACAGCAGATAAAGGCGTGAGGTGTGTTTTGGCAAAAAAACCTGTTCTAGCATTGACAAATCCTATTTCCGCTTTTGCAACACAATGGTTTGAATATGTGGGTTGAAATTTGAAAGGGGCAGGCAGAGTGTGAAGAGGATCAAAATCGAAAATGTACAATAGTTGATAAAAGGCTATTCGTGGAACGATTGTTAAATTTTAAAACCCAATTTTGAAACGATTAAAATCGTTTTAAAATTGGGGTTTTAGGAAGCGGGTGATGTGGAAGCCCAATATAAATCTTAATAAGGCATTACAAGGTCTTAGAAGCGTTATTAAGGTATTAGAGGGTACTAATTATAATTGACGCTAGAAATAGGAAAGCGTTTTATGGCCAGCATAACGGCGCTTTTTGGTGAAATCAGTAGACGAGCGACAGTATACTTTTAAAAAGTCACGCTAACAGCTTCTAACGCACGTTTCGGGCCCTTAATTTGAATACAAAGTTTCGGAGCGCGTCTTGTGTATCCTACCGCCCCGTGCGCTTACAAATAAAAACAATGAGGTGGCCGAAGGTGGTGGAGGTGGAAAACAGGTGGGGGTTGGTGGTTTTTGCTTGCCAAAGAGACACGGCAAACAGTATCCCCATGCCATCGCCTTGGAAAGTGCAGGATTCGCTTGGCGTCGTGAATGGAAGGTCATGAATTTGACGTCAACAAGAAGTACGAGGTGATACAATAAAAATAAATAAACCGACAAGAAGCTCCACGACAATAAGGCCAAAAGCGCAGTTTGTTTGGCACTTTAAAAGGATAGAAAGCGTTTTAAAGACAAAACCCGCCTCGAAACGTGATTTTCGTGGCAAAAAAATGGGCCAAGCGTGAAGGGTTTTAAAAAACCAAATAAAACCAGCTAATACTGGCTTACGTTCTAAGTTCCCGGGATTACGGTAGGGGGGCGGGGGCAATTTCATCAAAAACACGCGAAAATTCACGAAATATTCGAAGATTTGTTTCGAGAGGAAGTGAACTACATGAAAATGTCGCGAAAACCGCAGCAAATCTATTTAAAGGCACTTGGAAGGCAGACATACCCTATAGATTCTTGCAAAAACCCAATAATTATCTAGACCTTGAGAAGCTGTGCCCACTTGAGAATTCGGGCAATTCCTCCCTCGTCTACGGTCACCTTATCGACGATTCCCCGAACACCAGCCTTGTATCAAAAGCCGTGAAACCTGCCAAATGGCCTCGGATCGAGAAGTATCGTCCTTGCGAAAAAGCCCCAGCATTCCCAGCTCGCCTTTTCATCGGCTTATCGACGAGAAGAGGGAGAGGAGATGGTGGGATGTTTGCCCGGGACAACAGAATAGCTTGAGAAAGAAGGAAAAGCTGCCTGCATCGTTGGCCACTTTGGTGAATCACCCGCTTCACTTATTGACGGTCGGTCCTTGGGCTTCTTTCCCGAAGGCTCGAAGAGAGAGAGAGGGAGAGAGAGAGAGAGATCACAGTTTTGGGTGGATGAGGTGGTGGTGGGCAGATGGACTTTATTCGTGATTGCGAAACCGTGAAATCCAAGGATTTGTCACTGTAGGAATTCGATTGAACGGACGATGAATTCAGTAAAACCTTGAAAATCCAGGTAGTTGGCTCGCTAACGTTTATTTAGCATTAATAGAAGGTATTTCCAGCTCTAGCCCTTCACTTAACTGTCCAGATGACCTTCGATATTCCGCAAAGGATCTTTACTAGTTTCTAGCAAATTTTGCGGCTTGGCAGGCTATTTTTTGTTCACTTTACAAACATTAAGCGTTCTTTTGAGTGATGAATTCATAGTTTTGTCTGGCTAAAAGGCTTCAAATCATATAAATGACAATATTGTGCCCAAGTTCCATTATGAAAAATCAACCAAGCACTTATGAAACGCCAAAATATCCCGACACAAAAAAAAAATTCTTGAAACGGAATGTGCCATTTCCAGCAAAATTGAAGCGCATTCCATTTTTCTTGGAAGCGCACGAGGGAAAAGCCCCAGTTTGGCTGGCTCATGTTTCATGCAGACCAGACTAACGCAGCAGCTTTCAAACCCTACGGGGCAAAATATAAACACCTTTCTTCTTTGTTTTTTTACGGCGCACAATAGGGCGGGGCGGATCCGGAATTTGTGACTGTTTTCCCTCAGGGCTTTTGGTGCTTAGATCAGAATTTGCCCAGGGGGTTTTTGGTTGCTCGGCGATGTGCTTGGTAGCGCGAGGGGATTGCCTTGGTAGTCAAAGAATTTATGACAAAAAAGAAGGCTCGGATGCAATGTGGTGAAATGGCCAAAAGGGGTGGATTTAAGGGATCAGAACAGAGAATGAGGGTAGTAGAAAAGTTATGACTGCGCGATTATCCGGAATTACGGATGACCAGTGTGTTTTGGTCGTTTTCAAGGTTACAGGAGGCCTTTTTGAACCCGTTTCGACAATTCAATTGTTTTTTTTTCTGGATTCCAGATTTTGTTTTGGACTTATACAGCTTAAAAGGCCGTTCGCCAGGGACCCGAAAAGGGCTTGGCACAGTTTTTTTGACCCCATTTTTTTAATGCCATCGGAAAGAGCATGTTCGAATTAGTAGGGCTGCATAGTTTTGAAAGTTCAAAAAGTTTATTTTTATGGCTTAAATGGGTGTTAAAGTTGCCGACCACGAAAAACTATCTTGGAAGTTACTGAACAGAATTCGCTAAAAATTTGGGAATATACCTATTTTGAGATTGGGATCATTTCTCTAATACATTGCGAAGCCTGAAAATGACCGGAACATGGTTAAATTGCGTACTAAAAACAGTTTTTTGGGATTTGCGACTATGCGGGCGATCGAGCGCCACTCATACGTGGTAGAGAAAGATGCGCGACATTTTTCTGCGTCGATTGACGTGCCAATTATGCGGCGCTCGATCGCCCGCATATCTGAAAAAACGCGCTTTTTATGCCGAAAATGGCGATTTTTGCGGGTTTTCGGAAGCCGAACAGGCGAGAGAGTGCGGGCGACGCGGAGGGCCAAGACAGGCATACCGCAGCCCTGGGGGAGCGAGTCAGGTGCTGCCAGAGAGCCCCCGAGTTGACCACCCTAGCCGTCTCTGTGCTCTGCGCTCGCCGCACTCTCTCACCCCACCCACCCCAGATTTCGACTAAAAATCGCCATTTTCGGCATAAAAATCGAGTTTTTCAGATATGCGGGCGATCGAGCGCCGCATAATTGGCACGTAAATCGACGCAGAAAAATGTCGCGCATCTTTCTCTACCACGTATGAGTGGCGCTCGATCGCCCGCATAGTCGCAAATCCCAAAAAACTGTTTTTAGTACGCAATTTAACCATGTTCCGGTCATTTTCAGGCTTCGCAATGTATTAGAGAAATGATCCCAATCTCAAAATAGGTATATTCCCAAATTTTTAGCCAATTCTGTTCAGTAACTTCCAAGATAGTTTTTCGTGGTCGGCAACTTTAACACCCATTTAAGCCATAAAAATAAACTTTGTGAACTTTCAAAACTATGCAGTCCTACTAATTCGAACATGTTCTTTCCGATGGCATCAAAAAACGGGGTCGAAAAAAAACTGTGCCAAGCCATAATGGGGACAGGTCGGGTAGCTGGCGGACGGCCTTTTAAGCCCAAATGAGACGTCCTGAAAAACTACAGTTATACCGAAAGTTGAAAATTGTTACGTTAATCCAAAAAAACGCAGGTCCACAGAATCCACAGATTTGCGGTATTAACATAAAACCCGGACCTAGGTTTTGATTTTTATCGGGCTCTAGTGAGTGTATCGCCTTATAAAGCTCTACCTAATCCTAATTTTTCTAAATCTGACAAATAAAAACTAGCCTATGAAGGGCATGGAAGTAGGTAGTAGTGAAAGCCCATTGCAAGACCCAAGACCAACCGCCACCAACGTCAAAATGCTGCGAAACCCGATGCAGAACAATATGACTCATGGCGTGCTGGTCTCCCCCATCGAAAAACCCATTTTCAACTAGCGGCCCTACCCTGCGCAACAGCCCCCCACAAATAACGCCCAAAGGTAAATAAGGGGCAGGTAATTCGAGATGAGGGAAAAGATAGACAGACAGAAGGACAGATCCATTAAAAAAGCTGAAAAAGAAAAATATACGCACGAATCCAGGAGTGCTATGATATACCCGAGATGACGTTGGGGAACGGCGAACGGGTCGGGGGTAAGGCTGCATTTATTGCGAAAAGTTGCGGGTTTTAGTTAGTCATATCGGATTTTCGGAAGGGGAAAAGAAACCAAGTGGAGACCACATTTTTCGGTAGCGCTGAAAATCGACTAGAGCATTACTTTAAAGGGACTGGGAAGGCAGAAATCCACCTGAAGGACTTTTGCAGCCATATAAGCCAGAAAATTGCAAAATTCAAAAAACGATACGGAAACCTAGATTCTTGCTGATTTTTCAACTTACAGCAACACCTTGGTTTTTGCTAAAAATATACATTAGCCTGAAATATATATGACCACAAAAAAATCGTGGAAATTTTTGACCCTGGGCGATTGAGCAGCCAGATGAAAGTATAATCAATGCCTACGTCAAGCCCTGATCACACGCTGCCCTTGTTGACCCAGCTGCCGGCAAAAATCTGCAATTCAACAGTGGGCCGCCGGGAAAACAGTCTGTTCCGAATTTCGTAATTGAAAAACAGGGACCAAAATTAATCTGCTTGGAGTTTAATCGCTTGGATATCGCTTCCATCCGCCAATTACCCAATAAAGAGCACCTCCAATTGTTGGATTCTAAAGATTTTGAAATATAGCCCCAAATTCCGGAGGCTGGAAAAAAACCAATTGGTCAGACTTTTTGTGATCACATCCACGCTTTTTTTCAAAATTCTGAGCATCTCTGATCTGTCCTCACACATTCGGACCTTCTCGCCACGTCACTACGATGTTCGACGGGCCAAGAACCGTAAAGATACCGTAATCGGGCGGGGTCAGATTTGGCTGATGAATCACCGAAGGAATCTCGCTCATAAAATACGCGACCGCAAAAATTTTGGAAATTTTTCGGGGGACTCGCAAATATTGGAAATGAGGTATTGACAATTTTTCGACAAGTATTTACGATCAGATTCTTTGGCTCCGCTTTTGGCCGTTTGTGTCATGGGAAAATTGAGCTGGTGCTCTCTCACTTTCACTCTCTCTCACTCTCAAACTCACTCTTTCTCACTCCCTCACGCTCTCTTTCTCTCTCTCTCTCACTCACTCTCAATCTCACTCGCTCTGGCTCTCTCTCATTCTCAATTTCGCTCTCACTCGCAATCTCATTCTCTCTCTCTCTCTCTCTCTCTCTCTCTCTCTCTCTCTCTCTCTCCATCTCTCTGTTTTGTTTGTCCATCTCAACAACAAGTCATCCCTTTATATTTTATACTATTTTTTTTAATAACCAGCCGTACGACAGGGTGGAACCGAGTTTGCAACTACCACATAATCATAACAAAAAATCAAAAGGCATAAATTATTGCTGATTAAGACATGAATGTGTGTGCTTGAAAATCAGAGATCTTCCCAAAGTAATATTGTGGGGAGGGGGAAATGTGGGATATTCCGGGAAATTTGTGAAAGCAATGAAGCGGGATATGAAGTGATGATCAGCTCGCAAAAACAATATAAGAATTTAAGTTAAATGTCAATTTCTGGAAACGTTTTCCGAACCGGAAAGTATGACAAAATGTGAAAGACAAATAGTAAAAACTTAAAAATTGTAAATTTCAACAACAAAAAACGCTACGCGGTCGGATTGCCGTCAGTACTCGAGCCAATCGCCGGATCAGAAATTGGCAGCGGTTCCTCGGGTATTGATCCCATTTCCGGCAGGTCCGGATCCGGCATGGCTAACAGTTCGCTGACTTCGGAGTTGGCTTCGGACGTCTCGAGGATCTCATTCATGCTGGCGTCGAGCTCAGAAGCAGAGGGTGGTTCACCGAATCCGGAAACGGAAGAAAGGGGTGTGGGTGGGTTCTGGAAATTTTGAATTAAACGATATTTCGTGGGTTTTCTTACCGTGTCCAATCCACTGGCCATCGACATTGAGCCAGGGTTCGGGTCAGTGAGGGCGCTTTCTGAAGAAAAGCCATTTCGAGGATTTGAGATAGTTTTGGCAAGACTAGGCCTAAGCCCCAGCCTAAGTCTAAGCCTAAGCCTAAGCCAAAAGCTGAATTGCCAGTTTCTCTTGACCCACCATTAGACAACGGCCTCGCAAACGGATCCGAGGAGTCCAACCCCTCATCCATTGGAGTTTCCGGGTCCCGATGTGAAGGTGACTCCATCGAAATCCGGCGATGAAGCTCCGGTCGCTTAGGATGCGCAAAAAGCATGGACGTGCTCGGTTGAGTAAAGTCGATTGCCACTGGGAATGGGAACGGCTTCTCGCCGACGACTAGCGGGCTTGTAGCTCCTCTGAAAAAAAAACAATAATTTAGGTAATTTCTTTATTTCTCTCTCACTCTCTCTCTCGCTCTCTCTCTCTCTCTACCTCGGATACGCCATCTTCTTATATTCCGTATAATCGGAGCCATTTCCAAGCTCGTTGGCTCGTCGTTTCATCGCAGCTCTTGATGGCGTGGCGATAGGAGATGGTGAAGCAGATCGGAGCTTGTCTCTGAAATATAATTTTATATAGAATAAAATATATCAACAAATTATTCTGTATTTTCCTGACTTACTGAATCCATCGTTGTCGAGTCGGACTCCTCGTCGGGCTCGGGCTTGGAGAATATGGAATGTTTGACCTCACAAAACTGTGTGTGGATGGAGAGTAGCATTGCTAAAAAAAATATGTATTTCCATGCGTCCAATCTAGATGAAAACGTAGCGAAACACGATATAGTTCTGGTACTCATGCTTTAACTTCCTCACCTTCCCTCCCTCAAATCGAGTCGGACTCGGCGAACAAGAATGCGGCATAAAGGCGTTCATTATCGACACCGAGATCGGCTCGGAAAGCGTATTTCTACGATGTGCGGATCTAAAACGGTAGATTGCTTTCGAGACACGATTTTTTGACTTACCCAGCACTTTCCGGTCGTTCCGGCTCGATGCTAAAATCGTCCCATTGCTGACTGACTTTTTGGCTCGTTTTGAAGAGGCGCTCGTGGGAGATCTGAAAGAATATAATTATTTGTTGGGGGACATGGAAAACGGGTTTAAAAACCAGATTTTTTTGCCTACCTCACTATCCACCGAGCAGGACGATTCCCTCCGAATGTTTGCTAACCGCCCACGAGCAGCGTTCGCGATTCGGAGATGGCTGATTTGGTGCTGAAAATTCAGATTCTTCAATTTTGTATTAGCTTTCATATCGTAAATTTAAACAGTTTTAAGATGACCGACCTGTCCCTGGCTTGACCTCCTCGAACTTGGTCGCTCGGCGTCGGCAAAGGATTCGTCTTCGCTTGACGAGGAGCCATTCGAGGTACGATCGTGGCTTCGGGATTCTCTGGAAATTTAGGTTGCAAATTATAGTTTTCCCGGGGAAATAAGGGGTCAAATATCATAAAAAAATATGCAGAAAACTCTTAAAAATGAGGATAAACTTTGATTTACCTAAAACTCCTGTTTGCCTCGAGGAGAACCCTGGGTTGTTGCTGTTGGAGCTCGACAGAGGAACGGGATGAGCCTTCAGAATCGAGAGGAGCACCTAAAAATATTATAATGCTTAGATTGGATGTATAAATTGCCGTTCTTGGATCCAAACTTTTTCAAATCACGCTCAAAAATGTATTGACTTACCCAAAGTGGGAGCAAGTCCCATCATCAGCGGTGAGGGGCAAGGATTGGTGAAACTAAAGATATAATATTTAGTTTGACCCGAATAACCGAAAAATACGATTTACAAGGTATAGAAAACTTACGGTGATCGCACCGGAACGAGACGTTCCGCCAGGTCGAAGTCGCTTTTTGTAGAGCACTCTGATGGCGATTTTGCAAAAAGATTGGCGGGAATCGGCGAGTCCGTGCCTAAAAGGTATCGTTAATGCATCATAATAGATGTTAAGGCGTGACTTGGAAGGGAAAAGCAGATAGCTAAGATCTCATCGTTACTTTTTGAGGCCTAGAGCATTAATGAGGAGTAAGTAATAGCAGGAATTCTTGGTGAAGGGAGTGTTTATCGGCTTTTCTGATAAGTACATTTTCCGTAAAACCGCTAAGGCTACATTTATACTATTTAATAATTTTCTCGTAAAAAATTATTTTACATATTGTCAACTTACCGCCATTTAATGCTACCTCCGGTAGTCCGTTAACCGCCGTCTCCATTTTCCTGATTGGGCTGCCGTTTTCTAAAATTTTTTAAAGTTTCCAAAACAGCCAAAAAATAAAATACAATAAATCGAATAGGATATAACGCACGATGATCGAGGTCGATGTGATCTGACTCAACACCGGAAGTGACTCAAAAAAACACTGAAAAAAATGGCGAGGATCAAGTTTCAGCCCGAATAACGGTCAAAATATTACTGAAGACCAGTCTTGGAAAGGCCTTAATAGACAGTTATATGAATTATCTCCATAACAAAATGTAAATGTAAATGGAAAGCGTTGGCGCGCTCCGTCCAAGAATGTCACGAGGATTATCGAAGCCCCAGGAATCATTCTGGGACGGAAAAGCTTGGGTTTAATCCGCGGAAATCATCCCGGACAAATAACGGATGGGATTTCTGGGATCTATGGAATTTGAGAGGCGAGAGAGAGAGAGAGCGAGAGAGAGATTAAATTAAAGTTACGTTATTGAACGTAATTTCACCTACATATACAGGGTGTCCCAATAAAAAAGGTCACGCTGGCATTTTGCTATTTCAAATCTGACCGACTTGAAATTTTGCACAGAGGTGCGGAAGGCAATTCAAAATGTTCACAGAAACTTTCAGCCCGATCGGTACAGTAGTTTTCGAGTTATTGTAAAAATACTGTTGTTCCCACACTTTAGCTTCATTTTTTCGGCTATCTTTTTGGACTTTGCATCAATTAACATAAATTTCCTGCTCTAAATCCCTTACTCTTCTTAACATCGGCGTCGTTAGCCCTTGTTAAAAAATACTTAACTAGCCTATTTTCGCCCCGAATTTTGCAAAATAAAAAAATTTCTAGGATAAAAACGGTCGGCGCTTCATTTTCTCCATACATTTCAGGGCTCAATTCCGGCGGAATCCGGGTTAAAAACGTAAAATAAAGTTTATTTTTGCTATAACTCGAAAATTACTGTACCGATCGGGCTGAAAGTTTCTGTGAACATTTTGAATTCCCTTCCGCACCTCTGTGCAAAATTTCAAGTCGATCGGATTTGAAATAGCAAAATGACAGCGTGACCTTTTTTATTGGGACACCCTGTATTATCTAGAGGTCGTTTTAACGCTTGAAAATAAGCTTAAAATAAATTCATAGTTAGGCGATAATTTGAGAGCAATCGAACGAAAGCTAAGAAAATCTTTTGCTAAGTGTAAATTTTACTATACAAAGCGTTTCGATATACTTTTAGGCCTGAAAACAGACAAACAGCACATCAAAGTCATAGGCAAAAATCTAGCGCAAGAACGTACTTTTTACCTTTATATAAATTAAAAGCGGCCTATCACGTGACCAAAAAAAAAACCCAAAAAAATCCAGAAATCACGAGAGATAAAGAAATCGGCCAGGGATCGTAGAATCGGAGAGACGCAGAGGCGTAAAGAGTTTTTCGGGGGGTGTGGGCAGATCGTGATATCGACTGGTCAAGCGGTGGCCCGTCCTTCTTCCCTCCTCTCCTCTCTCCCACACCCCGTACGCTACGCGGCGCTTTTTATTTACGCGCCGTCCTCCATCCCCCCTCCCCCCAGGAGCACACGAGTGACCAGCAGCCCTCTGGACTCTCCACTCTCTCTCTCTCTCTCTCTCTCTCTCTCTCTCTCTCTCTCTCTCTCCCGACAATCCACATCCACGCTTTAGAATACAGAGAACCGGCAGTAGATAGTTTGGGGGCAAAGGATTGCCCACCCCTACTGTGAATAAGTTTTCGTCGAGTATTTCGAGTTGAGCGTTTCGAAAAATACGTGCGGGAAGGGCGTTCCGCGACAATACTGATAACAGCCGGGCGTCAACGAATGGACGGGAGGTGGAAAAAGCGGTGGTATGGAAGCTGTTTTCGCGGTATTAAACTGAAGACATAATAGATGAAACCAAATATTCAAATTTTTGATGCTGGGATTCATCTGTTTTTTGATCGGGTAAAGTGTAATTTTTTGCTTAAACAGCCTTGATAAGGAGCTACCACGATATTGCGAATAATTCTAGACACAATCGGATCGGGAAGTCACAATTTTTGTTTTTGTGGTCTGAATTAGGTATATTTAACTTTATATTTATTAACATTAGTGAAAATTAAAGCTACATTGATGGTTGTGGAAAAGATCTGACCTTCCAAATCCCTGTAAATCAATTCAGAAGTTCATTAGACATTTTAAGGGTGATGGGCGTCTCAAAAATACAAATAAAAGTACCAAAATGGGACTTTCAGCAGGAAATCGGCATTACTTAGTGTAAGCTATACTATGAAAATATTCCGGAGCCCTAGCCGCTTCCTAAGCCAAATATAAAGGCAATCTGCGGCCTACAGCAACGCAGACGGGTTGTAGTCTCCAGTAGGAGGGACAAGACGCCAGATTGTCGCCTCCATTCACTCCATCTCTCTCCCGCGCGCTCTCTCTCTCTCTCTCTCTCTCTCTCTCTCTCTCTCCAATATGCCCTCCGGGCACTGCCCCCGGATTGAAGAGGCGATGGGGGCAAGTCGCTCGGAGCATCGCGGAAAAACCCCCCAGCAAAAAGAACCGGCCCTCCCGGATAATAGAAAGGGACACGGAACGGAACCTCTGATGTTCCCCCATCCATTCCGCAAGACTCCAGTAGACGGACTGGGGGAGAACAAGTATGCCAAGGACGATCGGGGCTACAGATCAGCTCGGCGTTGCGGCGGCGGATGCAAGCCATCTTCTCTTTCGGCTCTGTCATCAGCATTGCGCGGATTCCAGCGAGGTCAACCCGGCAAATAGCTTGCTAATTTATGGGGGCGAGAGCAGAGAATTGGAAGTGGATTTAAGGGGTCGAGAAATCTACTATCTTTCAGCTAAGGCATCACTAGTTCAAGTGGTTAAGCTTGGGCTTAGGCTTAGGCTTAGATTTGTGGAGGGCTAAAGAAAGAAGAGCAGCGTTATTTTGGAACATTACAAAAATAGTTGCTACAAAAACACAAAAGACAATATACAAACAAGCAGAGATTTTTTTGAAAAGCTGAAAGAAGAGGTAAAGGCAAGCTTGCATACATTGTTGAGGAAAAGTAACGCTTCGGAAAACGAGCAGAGACCATTTCGGAATGTCTGTCAACCCAGGCACCAAAACCCAGGCCGGCACTCCGAATAGCGACAAACCGCTCCCCCTGCTACCCACCGCTCATGGTTATCAGTCCGGGGCTCCGCTTGAGGGGTTGGCAGCGGGACGTTTTCAAAGAGCTCTGCTGGTTTGCCCTTAATGAAAGAAATTCCAAGGGTTATAAAATTTTCTGTAGTCTGTCTGTCCATAAAAAATCGAAAAACTAATTCAGAGTTTTTATAGAAACCTGGAGGTCATTAAAGTTAAATGAAAAATTTCGGTGCACTTCCTAGTCCTGCTAAGCTTTTTTCAACACCACTTTGCTAAATGGAGGACCAGAATCGGCTTTTCGAGCTCTTAACCTCCTCTGCCCGAGCCTTGTCGAGATTTATGGGCCCTCATCAACTGATGGACGGCCGTGGGACCGTAATTCTGCTTTTTGCCACCGTCTTTTTTGTAGTTTGGCGACCCGGGCACGATGGGAATGTTCAGCTGTGAGCTCGAAGAGGAGGGGAAAACTGAAAAGTGGATGCCACAGCTTCCGCCCCTCTCCATCTGGGCTATTTATCGGTGTTGGGAATCTGTAGGAATGGACTGCTAAAACCATCGGCAAATGACGTGAGGTTAAAAAGGGCCTGAGAGAATTATAGAGGACGAGAGAGAGAGAGAGAGAGAGAGAGAGAAGAGAGAAGAGAAAATGAGAGAGTAAGAGTGAGGGAGAGCGAGAAAGAGGGTGCGAGAGAGCGAGCGAGCAAGAACGTGAAAAAGAAAGATGTGTCGCTGTAAACCATAAGAAGAACTGATTTCGAGAACAAAACCCCATAATACGCAGAATAAACTTCAGAGACATCAGGGTGCTTTTCCTGCAAAAATCGCGAAAATAATAAATCTGCCGACCCCTCCCGGCGAGACGCCCGATTTCCCATTGACCGACCACCTCTATTCAATCCGCGTGTCCGCCCATTTTTTGCTGCCTGTTTCCAGGGTTGGGCGCGACGCGTGTGAAGCGGATAATATTTGCAGAAAAAGGACACCGCCCCTCCCAGCTCAATCCCGGGGCTTCACAACGAGAACCCCCGGAATGGGAACGGAAACACACACAAAAGGGCAAATTGATTCCGGTCCCGCATATGCATTTATTCTTGGGAGGGGAAGGGACCAATTTCTTGATATTGAGGTGTTTTTTAAGAAATATATTTAGCGGGTTTTCATCGGATTTTCGCGGTAAGAGGATGCATTAATAAAATTACGTAGATTATTATCGGCGATTTAAGGTACCAGTCTATTGGTAATTAAAACATTTTATTGTAAATTTTAAACGGGTTTTGTTTGTATTTTTGCGTTACGTTAGGTTTAAAAATGCAAATTTTATAAGATAAAAAGATAATAGCTTGGTTAGTTGTTTTTTCGAATTTTCAGTTATTTCCTCTCCGATTTTTTGCTTTCAATTTAGCTTTTTTTTCAGACAAGTATACCTCTTTCGCCTCACTGATTTTCAACACAATTCATGTTTTCGACTTTCCAGAACACCTACCGTATCCAAAATCCCAGAATTTGCTTGCAACTCCGCGGCTAATCTCTGGATTATTTCAATCCCTTTCCACCCGGCACAAAAAGTATTCTCACTCCGCGGAGAGAACAATTACTAATTGGCGGTCTGGCCGGCTACATGCGATCGAGAAGCTGTTTCGGCATCGGGCTCGGAAACGTTCCGGAAACCTGAAAACCAGTCGGATGCCAGGATCCTATTAAAACTGTCCTTTTTTAGTATTTTGGATATGTTTTAATGCATAATTAATGCATCTAGCGGCTGAGATAATTGCTTCCGCGTCCGTTGGCTAGTAATTGGTGTATCAGAGATCAGGGACGACCGGTAATTACCATAAAAAACGCGAGCTTTTCTGGTGTTTTCTGACCGAAGGGGTTTCGTATGGTAGAGATCGCACCCCGTACTGTTTTTGACCTAGTTCTTAGGACTGGAAAAAAATTTTTTATACGATAACAGCCTTACAATACTTTAATTAGATAAAATGCCTCAATTAGCCAGTAAAAATATTCTCAATTTCACTTTATTGTGGACTTTCTCAACTTCCAGCCTGTCGCTTGCAAAACTTTTGGTTTTTCGCGCCTCCGTAACGCGCCCCATAAAATGCATGAGTTCCTGATGCTCCCGAAAAACACGCAAAAGTGAGCGGGTTCCCCCCTTCTCCCCGCCGTTTTCCACATGATATCGATATCTCGCACTTCGGGAAGCCTACCACCCTTTTACGGGCCCCCAAACCCCCCACGGGCTTTTCCCTGTGGCTCGTGGCGCAGAAAAAAAGAACAACGACGACAACGGCTTTTCCAGCCCGATTCCTCCCCCTCGCGGCGTTTTCTTCATGTCTGGCCAAGCGGTTAGGCCAAAAAAGGGCTCCGGAAAACAGCGCGCGGCCCACTCCTTGGCCTAAAGGATTTATGGGCCGAGGGCCCAAAAGTGAGCCCAAACCGGTCGGAAGTCATGCGTTTTCTAGTGAACGTCATAACTAATTTTTTGCTGATTTTTATGGTTTTTGACTTGCGATCGTTTATGTTAAAATCATCATCATTTTATGCCAACAATGGATATTTCGCCTTTCGGGGTTTGGCGATAAAAAGCGTTGGAAACTTATTTTCCATGAACTACAGCTCCCAGTATTATTTTTCAGACCGCTTTTCGGGCTTTTCCCCGTATCAGCAAAGCCAAATTGGTCAATTATCTTATCGTTGTTGAAGTCCAGTTGCATGGTTTTTCCAAAAATATATGGAAAATACGCCCAAAGTCTTTAGTATTAATTACACCTTTCCGTAAGGTGTTTTATCTGCAGAATTAATTAAAAAAATGGAATCTCGCTATTGCTAATTTATTGTGATTTGATTCCGCTCAATATAAATACGCTGCACCTTGCATATCTTTCCAGATTCCCGTTTGGCCCTTTTTACATTTTTCTTTCACCACCAAAAAGTGACATTCAAATTGGCAATTTTTCTCATGAGAACTGGATTTTCTGGTTCTCCGAATCACTACAAAACGTAAAAAGAATGTAAAAGAACTCTTCTCAAAAAAGTATCCAAATCCCACCAAATTTACATTAATCTGTTGCGCCAATTCCGCCTATTTCGCAGTCACAATCCCGCAGAAACCCATGCCCAGGACATTTTGCTGCGGCTAGCCTTGATGTTAGGCGGGGATTCGCCGTAAGTTCAAGCCGTATGCCGTATCTTTTATTTTGTAGCGCCCATTCGGAGGCACAAGTTCACGGGTTTGCTTTCGTTTTCACGGGGCACACCCCATTTGGGATAAGTTCAACTAATCTGCTCGTGGCCCCACCGCGTACCTCTTTATAAACAGCACCCCGCGAATACGACCAAACCCCGCTGGTTTCCCTATTTCAAGCCCTCCTCCCATTCTGTGAAAATCCACCTCCCCCCTCCCCCCCCCTTTCCAGGGAGTGCCGACTGAGTAATGGCCACGAGAACGCCATTTTTTTCGCGATATACCAGTTTCATATAAGGCCACGCTCGCCGGGCATCCCTTCATAGCCTGCCTTTTGCAGGGATCGGGTCTTCAACTTCTTTTTCGCGCAATGTTCATCAGTTTTGAGGACCAAGAAGTGACCGGGTAAGCTAAGGAGACCTCTGTTGCAAACGTGTAATACTGGGCATTCTAGGAAAACTTAACGTAGCTGACCTTAGCTTGGCGTAGTCAAACGTAGCTGGGCGTGGCACAAGACAAGGTAGCGTAACAGAGCCTAGCGTCGGATAACGCGAAAGCGTAACGTAGCCCAACGTAGCCTAAAGCATCCTGACATAGCCTACTCTAGCCTGACCTAGTCTCCCGTAGCCTGTCGTAGTCTGAGTAGCAGTCGTACGTACGTGCGTAGGCGTATCATTTAGTTTTGTAAGTCTAGCATAGACCGACGCCGTCTAGAATATAAATTGTGGCTTACCGTAGTCTATCGTAGTCCAGAGTTGTCTATCGTACCCTACCATATGCTGTATTTTAGCTCAAAAGATGGCTCTTCCGCTCTTCCAGTCAGCGGCTATACGCTCCCCGATTTTCAACCGCTAGCTACAGAGTTTTGGTAGGATATTCTGACCGCAATTGGAGTAGTTTTAAGCCTTTATTTTAGCTCCCTGATGCGAAATGGCTATGAACGATTGGGCTGTTCTTTTGCTGTCTACTACCGCGGCTACCTAGTGGCCCACATGTGGGCCGGGTACGCAGACGAAAAACGGACAAAGCGATGGGAGGAAAACACGAATACTGTCTTGTTTTCGTGTACGAAGGTTCGTTTCGGAAATTACAATCTATCTAAAAAAAAATACAATTTATCAAGCGATTTTCTAGAGCATCTCCACCATCGTTTTTCACTACCTCCTCGACAAGCATGAAATTTCGGTAGATGAGAAGATCACAGAATTCTGGCCGGAATACGGGCAACACGGCAAGGATGAGACGACTATCATAAATGTCCTCTCACATCAGGTATCAAATTGACTAAGGTATCCTCAAAGTTTAGAATACTTTCAGGCCGGCCTACCGTATACCACGGGTGGTCCCTTGAGCCGAGAGGACGTAAACGATCCGGAGAGGATGGGGAAATATTTTGAGGAAGCCAAACCGATTTGGGAGCCCGGAGCACATGTAGGTGTTACTAAGTCTAAGCCTGAGCCTAAGCCCAAGCCTAAGCCTAAGCCTAAGTCTAAATCTAATTTTAAGCATAAATAATCCTGAGCCGAAGCCTATACCTAAGCCGATGCCTAAGCCTATGCCTAAGCCTAAGTCTAAATTTAAATTTGTGTCTAAATATAACCCTAAGCTGAAGCCTAATCCTAAGCCTAAGCCTAAGCCCAAGCCTAAGCCTAAGCCCCGGGCCTAAGACTCAGCCTAAGTCTAAATCTAATCTTAAGCCTAAGCCTAAGCCTAAGCCTAAGCCTAGTCCTCAAATAACGCCTATGTCGAACATTTACATAGCATAAGTTTATTTTTAGTCCGGCTACCACGCCCTCACCTACGGCTTCCTGTTAGACCAAATAGCACGAAGAATCGACACTAAAAACCGGGGCATAGCTCAAATTTTACAAGAGGATATCATGTTCCCATACGGTAAGTATAAATAAAGATTTATTTATGGAAAATGTTTAGTCATCACAAGCCTCTCAATCGGTCGGCCGGAAGAAGACTGTAAAATAGCCACGGTAGTCCAGCCGACCGATGAAGACCTCGAAAAGGCAAAATTAGAAGAACCGGAAGCTTATAGAAGGTAGGAGGGAAAAGTTGCTAGCCTTAAATACCGGTTTTCCAGGTATATGCTAGGATGTAACGACCATTTGGATCGGCTATATCAGCAATGGGATTGGATTACCTTAGATGAGGTATAGGAAGTATCTGTTAAAAACTTGATATTCCATTTTTTGGTTCTTTAGGATTTCCGGGGGAAGTATTTCGGGGAAACCAAATTTTTTCCTGGTTTTCCCGGTTGACCTAGTAATCAAATATAAAGTGTTTTCACATTGTTTTTAGTAAATTTTAACTATATTTAAAGTAGAAAAACTTTTCAAAAAAGTTAGAAAAATGTTTGAAAAAGTCGAAAATTGATCATTTTGGGTCTTTCCCCCGCTTCCTAAGGTTCTTAGGTTTTTCGACCTAAAATTAAATTTTTTAATTAAATGTGGGTAGTTTTTATGCTCAGGACTAGTTAAAACCATTTAGAAACGCATGCCTATTTAGAAAAATTTGGCTCGGGCCGAAAATTTGGTTTCCCCGGAAATCTTCCCCGGAAATCCTAAAGAACCCATTTTTAGTATAACAATCCGGAGAACCAAAAAATGGCGATGCCGTCCAATATGGGAATCGGAAATGCGCAAGGACTAGCTCAACTTCACTCACTTTTGGCGAAAAAACGATTGATGTCAGAGGAGGTGGGATTTCCGGAAAAGGTGCCCCGAAAATATAGTTCATTAAAGTATGATGAGATCAGGGCATGCTAGCAGAGATTCTTTGCATTTTGAAACCCATTTTGTAGTTTTATGACATGGTCGAGGAACCAGTGCTCGAGAACGAAATTGACATCATCAATGGCTATGAGGAGAATAAGGGCTATGGCTGGCAATATACGAAAAATCGATGGGTATGTTATTTTTAAGTTATGTTTACCATTTTACTATTTAATGACTGATACAAAGAATATAAAAGCTCTCTTATATATTTGTCACAATTTTTCAGGGCGAATGGTGCTTCGGACACTCGGGCCATGGCGGCCAAAACGTAAAAGTGGACGTCAGCCACAAATTAGCCTTCGCTTTCGTCTGCAATGGGCTTCATATAGCGGACGCAGGTTTGGAATTGTAAAATAGATTATATTTACCTACTTATTTCATGCTTGATGGGTTTCTGGCTGGTTGGCTCCCAATCTGACATTGGCTAAGGCGAATAAATTCAAGCATGTGTGCCAGAAATTAAAAGCAATTTATTAGCTTTTAACTTTTTAAAAAACACTAGAATAAAATAGGGTAACTTCGAAAATTAAGAAAAAAACCACTTAAGACCCGATTTCTAGATCTCGTCCCCACATTTGCGCGACTCCAGGAAAAGCTCTACGATTGCATCGAGAAGATTGAAACATTTGCATGGCGAATCTCCGGTCCTGATAGAAATATCAAAACCAAGGGAATAAATAGTTAGATCTCAAGCGGCAATTCTACCTTTTTATTTCAGGTTAAAAGCAAATAATGTAATTTCATCGACAAAACCTTGGCTGTAAAATCCTTTGCTGCTCACCTCCCGAACAGATGGTGGAAAGAAAAATTCGAATTAAAGTAATATTTGGAAGCCTATCCAAAAATTTCATTGAATTGTATATTTTTGTACTGTGTATTTTTCGCGACAATAAAATGGAGCAATAATTTATTAAAATTCACCTTCATCAATCACCGTCTAAAAGATAATTTATTAAAATGCACATACGCCAATCACAGTTTAAAGTAAATTAAGGTATTTTTCTGAGGCAAATCCACGTCTCGTTATTCACCATCACATCCAAATCGATCACAATTTTCTGGTTATCCACCCTGATGATGATGCCCCTGGTGGCATTGTACTGTCGCGTAAGCAGTCCCTCGAAGGCAAGCCCAAAACCAAGCAACTCTGGGCACTGCACACTAATGGATTCGATCTCCCGGGCGCCGTCTTTCCATTGCGTAACCAGTTCGACCACGAATTCGACGGCTTGTTCGGCTCCTCTCCTCTGGGATGAGAGTTTGCACTGCATGGTCTTCACCTTCAAATCCAGGCATTCCGGAAGTCGCACATCCGGGTGGAAAACCAAATTGGCCACGTTTTCGTTGATGAACTCCACCAATTCTGGGTAAGGGTTGAAGTGGTGGATGCCGACGGTTTCGTACTTTCCGGTTGGTTTGTACTCCTTGAGGACGGGGAGGGGGTCAAGCCCGATCATCGGCAGCCCATTTCCGATAGCCAGCTTATGCGAGGTAAGGCCGGGTATGTGAGACTCAAAAGTTTGGACCCCGAGAACAGTGGCGTCGCGTAATAGGAAATCGATTGTCCGCTCGGAGGGGATGGTCATTGGTCGAGCATAAGGTTGCGTAATGATGGCCTGGTTGATTTGGGGACCCTCTGACCTCGGAAATTCCACCTTGACGTTCCAGTATTTCTTGGGGAGGGCCTCGCATCGGTTCCAGAATGTTCGGCATGTGCAGGCGACTCGCATAAATTGCTTGATGTCCAAATAGCGAAGAATTTTGTCGTGGATTTCAGCGGGGAATGTGGAGAGATCCATTTATCTGAAAAAGAACGTGTAATTAATTGATCGGACGCATTTTCATAGGAATAGAATTGTATAACGTGAGGACATATTTTTTGAGAATGGATTCAACATCGAGTTTTGTTTAAAATTTAAACCTGTTTCTGAATAACTACTTCAGGTTTGTCTAAACATTACTAAGGTATATTTTTATGGAAATTGTTGGTTTTATGGAGGTTTTGGTGTCACTAAATAACATAGCGTGTTTTTCACCACGGCCTCCCCAATAGGCTCCCCGCGATTCGAAAACGCGCCAAATTGAATTGGCGAAAGCGCGCGTAAAATCATGCGTGAATTACAAATATAACATTTATAAATTATTGAAAATAGTTAAGAAGCCGGGCCGAATCATTAGTTCGGTTTTAAAACCAAAAATTACTAAAAAACGTAAATATCGAAAATAAAATTGGCACAAAATGGCATCGAATTGAGCGGAAAACTGACGTAGAAAAACTGTGAATCCCCTCGTACCAGAACAATGCCAAAAATACATCTGGCTTGCTTGAAACGAATCGGCGCGGTTGATAAGGAATTGTGACCTTGGAAGCTAATCAAGCCCCCCCCCCCCCTATTAATGTCCCGTGCGGTAACATTAATGTATACCTTTATGTGTAACACTAGTAAGCATACGGGACGACAGGTTATTACTAATTTTTTATCCATTTATTTTATGCCTCAATAATCTTAACGGTATCACTATCCGTGACAAATTTCGGGTCTCCACAATTCTTATGGCCGGTCGTATTCTTTAACGTCAACGCGTCGATGTCCGCTTGCTCGAGTTTCTAAATTAGTTTTATATATTTTTTGTATTTTTATATGATTCTTTGTAGTACTAATCAAAGCAAGGGGCCACTTACAATTTCCTTAGCCTTCAAGTTCTCGATGATGTGCTTTGGTGATGTGGCGCGCATCATAACACTGAAGATTTTTGGTGTATACTTTTGTGAGAACGCTACCTCATTCCCAAATTGTATGGATACGCAAATTGGAGGAGTTTTGAGGAAATGTTATATTTTGCGGCAATCTCGGTGGGTAGCTTGTCCTCGACTTGTGATTTTGCGGCTTCTGGGGTTAGATGGAGGGCGCAGAAATAGGCCTAAATTAGGAAATTAAGAGGTGAGAGCGAGAGAGAGAGAGAGAGAGAGAGAGAGAGAGAGAGAGAGAGAAATAGAGAAAGAGTGTGAGTGAGAGAGAAAGAGAAAGAAATCCGTACTCAAAATTATTCATACCTGGAAAATAATCCCCTTCTCCTTGCAAAACTTGACGAGACTGTTGACTTGATAATGGAAATGGAATTCACACTGGTCGACGGCGGGGAAGACCCAAAAAATATAATTAAATTAGTTTAAATCCGGTGAAACAATCGCACCTTGGCGTAGCTCAACAAGTCCTCCAAATGATGCGTCATATAGTTTGAAACACCGATGGCCTTCAGCTTGCCCTCACCTAAAAATTGTCTCTTCACAAATTCAGTAAATTACCATAGAATTTCTCTAGTGTTTGCCATGTCTCTTTTCGGCCGGTTAGATTGCGCTTGGGCTCGGAATGGTTGACAGGGAACACTCCGGGCCAGTGGATGAGCACGAGGTCGAGATAGTCGACTTGGAGGAGCTTCATAGATCTAGGAATGGAGTGATCCAGCTCTCTCTACCTCTCTCTCTCTCTCTCTCTCTCTCTCTCTCTCTCTCTCTCTCTCTCTCTCTCTCTCTCTCTCTCTCTCTCTCTCCTCTCTGTCTCTCTCTCTCTCTCTCTCTCTCTCTCTCTCTCTCTCTCTCTCTCTCTCTCTCTCTCTCCATCTCTCGACTTACTCAATAAGTGACGGCTCTGCCAAAGGTCCCTGATGAATATTGTGAATCTTTGTAGCCAAGAAGATGTCCTCCCTGCCAAAAAACACGGAAATTTTAGAGTAATTCCAGATACTGTACCTGGTCAAATTATGCTTTGGCAACAGCTCCTTAAAAGCCTTACCCGTGATTTCTTCATTGTCTAAAAAAAACTCCAGGAATTTCAGATAACCGTAGATCCCCTACCGTAAGCCTGGGCGGTATCAAAAGTCCTGTATCCAGCCGTTAGTGCATTGTCAACGACCTCGAGCATTTTTGGGAGGTCTTTGATCTTAAATTGGTGTATTTTATTGCAGTTCGTAGTTTTCTTACTCCCCACAACCCGAAAACGAGACGATCCGCTTTTTCTTTGACATAATCACGGCCTTTGTAGTCGTAGTCGGAGAGGGCGCTGAATTTTTGATGATTTTTGAATTTGAAGCAGCAGATTTTGGATAGGTTTAAGTTCAGACTACTTTCTAAAAACTATAGTACCTGCACACAACTCCAAAAAACACCAATACCCGAAGCATCGTAAAAATATCGAGGATGAACTGCTGTTCTCCCCACACAGATCTCTCGCTTTATATCGCTGCTCTAGCCCCGAAAAAACGAAATCGCCAGACCCGAGGCGAAATGGCCTTGATGTGGCTATCACTGGCCATATTGGCTAGCGTCGTTTTCTGGCTGATACATCGCAACTCGATGATCTGCTAGCAAAATGATGGGATAGTCATGGTCAAAAAACTCAAAAGAAGCTCCAGAACGGCGTTCCACTTGTCGATACGATCGTTCTGTTTTGATCTCGGGGTGGAAGCGTTGAAATATGGGTTTGTATGATAATATGAAATATTCCAAAGCTGGAAAATGAGATTTCAAGTACTCTTGAATCTACAGCAATCCCGGAAAGGTTGATTTATGTTCTGAGAACTGTAGAAACCTGAAAAAAAGACGTCAAAAAACCATATCCGGAAGTGTTTTTTGCGTAATTCTATTCACCGTCCGGATTCCCATATACCAGAGTATTTCTGTCTTTTCAAAATAGGATTATTATATAGGGCTGACCGTAAATTACTTGTAGTTTTTACCCCATTCGTTCCCTAAGCGAAGCCATTTTCAACGTATTCCCTTCGAAATTGTATAAATTTAAGCGGATACTTATAAGTACTTCTTGCACCGCTTTGCTTTCAATTTTTCGGTATTTTTGCTTTATTTTATTTATTAAACAGCCACTATTTCCAAAACCCACCCATGGACACCTTTTGTGTCAGCGCACAATGCTGGCGCACATCGGGGTTGGCCCCCTACGCGGTTTCCAGAGGCACAGGAGTGCCGTGTAGCTTCCAGGGAAATATTCGGGGCTCGAGATTTGCAAGGGATTCGAGTTCTTTTGTGGTTTTCTTATCTGAATCATGAATATATCATGCCATCAGTTAGCAAATAACATCATTCCGTATTTATTCTAATCATTTTGTTTGTGACTATGTAATAAGAAGAAAAATACGTTATTAAATTGATTTGTTGCAACTTGGACTTCAAATTAATCGTTCGAATGTGTATGTCGAATCATACGCATTATAGCTCAATTCATGAGTAGTTCTAAGGGTTTATAAGCACTTATTCTGATGTTTTAGGGTAAGATGTACAGGGCCATCCGCACCTTCACCACCTCCCCGGCTTGCAGGTAGCCAAAAACTTATAGAGACTAATTGACGAATTAAATTAGACATTTTTAGGCTAATAAAAATGTTGGATACCTTAAATACCTTAAATCTTTTCAGGAAAGACCTCGTCCAACAGGTCTTCATCGACAAAATCCGGGAGTTCGCCAAGAAGGGCGGAGATCTCGTCAACACTGACCCTGCCGTGAGTTTTACAAGCTTTTTTAATGGATCATGGGCATTTGGATTTTGGAAGCATAATGCAAGTATATTTAAGCTACTTTATCTTCCGTTTTAGGTGAAGAAGGCCCTGCAGCAGGAGTTGGACCGAGTCGGCACCAAGTACTCCTTCTCCAACGTTGCCGATGTCGGAAAGTTGAACGTGACCTTGGAGACGCCAAAGGTAGTTTTTTTTTAAATTGGAAAAGGTTAATGAGCTTTTATTTCCTGTCCCTGGCTCATTTTGATAGTTATACCATGCTAACGATGTCGTTGATCTTCAAAAAGTCAAGCTAGCTTTCGAGCTTATTATAATCGTATGATGACTTAAATTCACTTAAAAATATCTGATTTCGTTGTCTCAATTTATGACCGATTCTTCTAAATATACCTCCCCTTTAAAAGAAAACGTTTTCCAGGTCGACTCCTCCGTCCAAGCCGAACTCGAGGGCAAGACCGTCGCCGACCTGATCGCCGAGGTGAAGGCCGAGGAGCAGCGATTCCTTGCCGCCCAGGTGAACAACCACTACATTCTCACTTTGATGTCAATAATGAACACCCCATTTATGCAAACTCAATTTTTGCAGGCCGCCCGCCGTGCCGACGAGGCCAAGAAGGCCGCCGCTTCTGCCGGAAAATAAACACTGGTCTTTATAGTCGTTTCCATTTGATTTTTTCTTTGTTCTGCTAGATTGCCGATTCTTGGGTAGCGTCAAAATAAATTTTTATCCAGGTTTGAGAAGCGGAAATGGGCATTTATGGGGGAAGCGCAGGGTAGAGTGTCTGGAAAGTGTCAGAATAGACCCCTGAAGTCGCTGGGCTGTCTTTCTTTTGTTGCAATTCGTAGCTGTCGAGTCTGAACCATCAGATGTGGTGGATTCTGGGTTTTAATTTCCTCCTATTGTGCGGTGGTGTTGTATAATATATAATGTGCGGTTGTAGCTTTTATCCGATTTTTTAAACGCCTGTCCTGTAGAGCTCTGTAATTGGCTCGACGAGACCTAGTCGTCACAAAGCGGGCCAATTTTGTCGCTGGCCAGTTCCTTTAACCCCAGAAAAAAACAGAAACAAGCACAAGTTTATATACCATTAATGCACCTTCCTGGGTTTTCATCTTTCTCACACGATTCTCCAATCGTTTCTACGCCTATTCCACCTCCAAAACCCCCAGACGGTAGTCGTGTGAAGCCCTCAACCCTGTCAATGCCCTAACCTGTAACCCAATACTTTCCATGACCATCCGTGACCCTTCCCCTTTAGTGTTTGATCAACCCTTCCAGCTCGCCTCCTTCCACCTGCACAGTCGGCATCATCTGTTGCGGGTATGGGGGCCCTTGTTTGGCCAGCACTTGCGCATCCTCACCACCATAACAGCTGACAATACCGCCCCAGCCTTGGCGGGCCGCTTAGGGCCCATCATCACCGCAAACTACCAGCGGGGTTAAGGTACCGGTTATGCAGCTTGGGAGGTTTGCATCGTACTATGTTAGCCCTGAATGGTTTGCATCAGCCTGTAACTTGAGGCGTTCGATTTGTGGTAAAGTGATTGTAGTGTCATTAGATATCTTATCGTACTACTTCTAATATTACTACTACTACCTACTGTTCGCTTAGCTTCGAGCGCCAAACTTGAGATGTCAAACCTCATAGAGAGAACTTCATTGAAATGGGACAACTCAGATCTACGTCATTAGGTCTACGTCATTAGGAATGCATCGTACTATCCAACCTTTTATTCGCCTTCCGATCCACCGGTCTAAGCTTGAGATATTATACCTAGTTCTACGTATTAGGTATGTATCGTACTACCATACCTATTTTTCGGCTGTCATTATCTGAAGTCAGGTGAAGTGTAAAGCCTGAAATATCGTGTCCGGTCCTAGCGTCATTAAGCATCACGTCGTATGGCCTTAATTAAGGCGTAAAGTTTACACAAATAGCAATATTTTCCGCACAAATACTACGCTTATGCTTTATTTTCAGCAAATAAAAACGTCTACATGACCAATGCCTTTAGCTCGAAACTTTTTTACGCCCCATTTCCGTCCCATTTTCACATTCCCCCCTCTTCCTCCAGCCTTGACTTTATAAGCTGCTCGAGTGCACATATACCCTTGCGGGCATCGAGCCCCTAACTCGGCCTTCACCATAGAGCCCCTCCCCCTAGTATTTTCGGCTCGTAAGGCGCAAATTTCCGGGGGGTGCAGGCGTGGGAGGAGGAAGAGAAGGAGGAGGCGAGCAAGAGACAGCCAATGCTGTTTCACGGCTCGCTTGACACGGTTTGCCAATGTGGCCAGGATAGGGGGGACGAGGCGAAACCCATCCTTCTCATAGTAGTCGTCGGCTTATCGGATGTTTGCTATATGCCTTTTTACAGGGTTTGGGAAGCGGTAAAATCGACCCTATCTGGGGACTAGGTCTCGACAACTCCGATAGGCTGCCTCCGACACTCAGAGAATCTTATTTTAACATAAATATTTAGCGAAAAAATGTTAGTTGTCGAGACCTAGCCGTCGGGTAGGGGTCGATTTTTGTGTTTTTCTAGCCTATTTAAACGAACGATAAAGGCAATGTTTTATATTTCAAGTCGTCTACAGCTCTGCACCAGGATTATCATACCTAGATAATCTATAACTAACGTATTTTGGTATAGCGCGTAGTTGTCAAGACCTAACAATCGGAATAGGTCGTTTTTGGAATCTCCAAACCCCTTTAAAGGAACCAGATCGGCAATATTTTGTATTTCGACCATCACAGCTTGCTTCCGAAATTATAATAAAGCCGCAATTTTTATTAGCGCCCGTATTTTGGCGCCTCACGTAGCTGTAGATACCTAGTAACCCGCCGACGCCGTCTGGCGTTTCCTCCCTCCTTAAAGCCAATATTTTTAACAGATTCGTCCATTCTCTGGCTCTACATTTTTATAACAAACCCAGCGGCTTCTCATAACCACCCCTGCCAACCCGACCGGAACCCGCTAATGCCATTCGGGCCGGGATTAGACGGGACTTTTGTTGCGACCCCGGGAATGGCCTGGGGGTTGGCTGCTAATGGGTGGGGCGCCGCGGGGCGGAAAGTTACGACCCAGCGTAATGATCTGTACGAATATATGTGGAGTGGCGTGGGTAGGAACCGGGCGGAATCTGGGCGTTGTTCGTAAAATTGGCTTCGAAAGTTGAGTATACGATTTAACAGAGTATCAGCATCGCTAACCCTTTTAGGCTCTCCAGCAGCTTCCTGTTTTTTTTTGGTGTTAGACAACTATAAAAATACCTTAATATCATTCCATCTTTTTGGCCCATTTTCAGAGCCCTCACTATCTATGTACATTCGAGCCCAACTACCACCAAAGCAATCACTCCCCCCAAACGAACCCAAACCCATGGTCCGCTCGCCACCCAAATAGGAAATGACCGGTTTGTCTCTTGCCCCCCCCCACTCCCCTATTTGCATACGATGCGGAAATTGAATCTTCGGATGGTCGTGTCCACCCTGGGGGGAGCTGTGGCCCAGGCTGTGCGCGACTCATCGCCCATGATAATTGGCCCCGTGTCAGCCATAACAATGGGCAAAGAGGTGATGGGATGGGAAAGTTCATGGGCCTGTTAGATAGGTATATTCTAAGGGCTAACGGCTTAAATAAATATATTTGA